TTGGTTGGGCTAGCCCCATACTACACAGAAACGCCAAACCGTGACGTGTCCCTGGTGCCAGCTTTGCAGCTGGTCATAGCAGTAGTCAAATCAATGTGTGTGTATGTCTGTTGATTAAGTGGTGTGTAGCTAAAAACATTCTCACAGACCTCTAGTACATGTCGTGACTTAAACATAAGAACATATTATGGCTAAGGCTACAGTTATACACGTCATAATAATAATATTAAACACCCTGTCTGCTGACAGTCATCAACTTTTCTCTAGTTATCCTTGACCAGATGTACCCTGTAGAAACTCATAAGCATGACTAAGCATTTAACAGTCTAACTAGACATCCTATCTCCACTAAACATTTCTAATACATAAAGTATCTATCCAATATCTATCTGACTAAAAATACCTAACAATACAAAATAAAATATAAAACAGTTACTGTATAAGGTCAGATATCCAAGAAGTAGTGGAGATAAAGTGCTCAGGTTACAGAGACCACAAGGTTCAGACAGGCAGTGATTTGCATTCAGTGGCAGGAGCGTTTACTTTGACAAATAGGAACAGCAAAAGGAGGCAGCCGACTGCCACTTAGTTATTAACAACTCCTTCACTGGTGATTTATTTGCCACTTTTGAAGAGAGGGCATAGCTATTATGTTATTATTGGGGAAATTAGCCCTGTTTAAGCAGAAGGCTATGACCATACCTGACCCCTTAATATACTTATAATGATGCCATTTACCATACATATTTGAACTTTGCTTCTCATCAAACCTGAGCCAAACAAACTAGCCCAGGGCACACTGAATCCAAATATGCAGGGCTGTGCACATTTCACTCCGCTTCTCAACACGGATAACACTGTAAAGATTAAAAAGGACTGGCCCGTCTCTTTATAAGAACTGTTGGCTCAAATACTTTGATGCCCCATTTTTGTCATTAAATTGGAGTTACGTTTATAGTGTCTGTTTTTACCTGCTGTGACACAGACTTCATGATATCTTGTTTGCAGGTTTGGGCTATTGATCTGGACCTCACATACAGTGATCAGTTGGCCATGACCCAGATGGTTTTGATGATGACTGGAGGATCGCTGAATTGCAGCACAGGCTGTTTAGAAGTGCCAATGCCAATCAGAGAGAAATGCTGTGAACATCAGATTGCACCCAAAGTAACATTTTATGTTTGCTTATAATGGCACCTTTGATCATGTTTTTAAATGCTGTCTTTGAAGTTGTATACTTTTACAGTGTTTTCTTCCCAAATTATGTTGTTAATTTTTGTCTTCAACAAGAAAGACACCACTAAAGTGAGCTGAGATGTTAGAGGACATTGTTATGCCTCTGCAGTAATCACAAAGATAGATCAATCTTTTGCTCCTCATTTTTGTTAAATACAACTAAATACTGTAATTACGCACTGAGCTCAATTGGTGTTTAGGTGCTGAATTCATTATCATTTTGATAAATGAGTCTAAATAATCAACACATTAATAATTCATACCATTTTCATTATGCATGTGTATGCATGCTTGAACACCTCATCAACCTGGTCCCAGGCCTTAAACAATAGAGTCCTTTTATTAGCAGTATGCCTGAGTTTACGCTTGTTAATCTGCGACTTGTATTATTTTATCAAGCATTCATTTAGTTGGTGGCCTGGTGCTGCAGTGCAGCAGTTGAGCCACTACAGTGGTTAATGGGTTTCGCAGTGGCCATCATTAGGGGGCTGCATATTACAAACACAATTAAATCCCTGTTGGACACTTTTATTGTTGTGTGAGGGTCTTGGTTTGACAACTGAAAACACACAGCCGTCACAGCGAGTTATGGGCTATCTCCTGAGCTCACATGGGCTTAAGGCTTGTGCTTTTTGTCCCCCCAAAGGTGCCTGAGAACCAGGAACATTTTTATCCCCTTCAGCCCTGCCACTTTTAAGTAATCAACCTCTCTAGTGTTACTTATCACACTCACATAGGCTACTGTGCTTAGTCACCCCTCTATTATGGTGATATGTACTACTCGTTGAGTAGTCCTCCTTTGCAGTCAGCAGTCCGTCTGTCTCAAACTGAATGCAAACATTTGCAGTCCAGAAAATGTAGTGTCTTTGACTGGCATCATACAGTTAAGCTCATCTTGTGTTTGGATGATTCTAAACATTAATTGTTCCTCCCTGCAGTTAATTAAGAAAGGCCCAACAGTTTACCACATGTGCCTCACACTCATCATGTTGACTAATCACACACTCCCCAAACTCAACAGTGACCCTTAGGACATGTGTATGGAGTTCACCCATCTCTTCTCAAACCATTTTAAACACAGTGCTACCTATTATACTTCAGCACAAAATATAATAGAACATTAAGTGTGCTATTCTGTTCTATTCTATTCTATTCTCGTATTCTATATAGATTTTATCCTGACCTCAGACTAAGAGAAAAACTAATGCCAGCAGTCATACATTGTGTTACAGTCTGTGTCTCTTTACTGTGTCTCTGTTCGTTTGTTTATTTTTACAGCTTCCTGTGGTTAATTGTTACGCAGTTATTGGGAGTCATTTGTTTCACTCTAACCTTTCTATGCTCTACCATCATGTGTTCTTTAAGATGTGCAAGGCTCATGGCATAAGATTTAACATGAAGGTAAAACTGTCATGATTAACCTGTTCACATTTATATAAATCTTTCATCTGTTCTTTTTTGAAACATAATACCATGTAATGATGGCTCTCTTCTTTTGACTGTGTGTTTTCAACTTAAATTGCAGAAGAAGCAAGGCACTGTCTTTGCTCTTTATGACAGCAGTGAGCGATGTAGTATTGGAATGATGTAAGTGTTTCTTATTGTATCATATTCATATACACACAGTATTAATGGAATTTGGGGTTTGTCTCCAGGAGAATCTATTCTGAGCACATTTAAGCTTGTTTTACCTTGCTCTCTTCAGATAGACAAACACATGCAAAAATGGTAGAGGATTAGGTGGCTGAAATATTCTCCAGACTGGATAATAACAATTCTTTTAGAGGATTAAGATGCCACCTCTGGCTTTGTAAATGTTGTTACAAACTGTAGAAGTTGTTAAGCAGAGGGTTATTTAATATATTTATCACACAAATCATTTAGCTTACACAGTGCTGTATCAGTTAAATCACCCTGTGCTTATCCCACTAAAGACTGAGGATGCTGTCTGCTGAAAGTTTCATTTAACCACTACCATCAGATGAACAAGGTGATTGTTTCTTAGCTGGCAACAGGAGGATCATTAGTAAACTCGTTTGTCTGGTGTATCGTTAATAGAACGGTGTCAGAGGATCTCCAGGGAGCTCTGGTGACCTTTGCTCAGAATCTGTCTGTCATTCATCAGGAAATATCATCTTCTAAAATGCAAGGAGAAACCAATTTCAAGGTACCATGTTAATGACTTAATGATCTCTGCTCAGCTACATGATGAACCTTGCATAGTCAGTGAAGCTGTTGCCAGCTGAAGTGCTTTGACTCAACAAAGTGTAACCAGTTAATGTTTAAAATTTTATTTGCAATATTTTATTTTATTTATTTGATCATAATAATTTAAATTCTGTTTGTGTGTGTGTGTGTGTGCGTGCGTGCGTGTGTGTGTGTGTGTGTGTGTGTGTGTGTGTGTGTGTGTGTATGTGTATGTGTTTTGGAGGACCTGATCAAGAACATAAAAGATGTAGTGCAGATGACTGTTCAGAACAAGCTGCGAGCAGTGGAGCACAAACCTGCTGCTTAGACAGCAGCCTCGCTGATAACCTTGCCTTACTCTCATCAAGTTAAGTCACTGCATCTTTGTCAGCTTTAATGTCAAGATCTACACAACCCTAAATCAGAAAAAGTAGAGACAGTATGTAAAATCAGAACTTTATAACATTTAGTTTTTCAATTTGTCTTCATGGTAAATAATGGTAAAATCAGAACATAATATACCACAGCGAAGTGAAAAAGATGAATATTGTTTCAGTAGCAATATGCATTTTATTAGAAAGTTCACTTGTGAATAACTTTTTGTATGTTTACTTTTTGTTGTTTTATAGGATGGCCCGGTTTGAATATACTGCAATCTGAACAGTCTCCACGACGCATAGGACCACACACTGGTGAGTGTACACGCATCACGTTCAATAAAATGCAAGTAGTATTAGTTAATTCGATTGAAGAGGAACAACTGCGCAGCGCTGCGTTTCCAGCCGGATGACTATAGCAGAGGTACCAGGTCAAAGCTAGAAGGCATGAACGGTAGCACTATAAAATAATCTCATAAGCAGAGGGGAGCTACTTCCTTCTCAGATGTATTAACTGGATAAGATAACTGTGTTCAGAACATGTATCCGGACGTGTAGCTCTATGTAGGATTAGGTTGTTGTAGGTCTTCGGCCGCATTTGCTTTAGCCGAGGCTCAAGTAAGTCGCTTAATATAAATTGCCCTGCTTGCAGCATTCAAACAGCTTTAAAGGATGTAGTTGCAACAGTAGCTGTTGCACATCAGCCGGTTTAAAATTTCGGTACGTTTCACAAATGGGTGGTAATTTGAATGCAGGCCAAGTGATAAATTACAGCGAGTAACGTTAGCCGAAGTTCATCACTCTGCTTTTTGCACAAGTCATGAAGGAATTTTTCAGGAGGATACACGGCATCTTTCTAAAGATCGCACTGTTTCCAAGCACATTTGGCCGTTTAGGCCCGCGTCCAGCTGCCTCCGAGGTGTTAACCTGCCACCTGCTGCAGCGCAATCTCCCGCCGTGGACTTCATACTGTGTCCGCTATAGCTCAGTCCACAATGACCAGTTTGGACTGTCCAACTTTAACTGGAGGGTTCAGGGATCCAACTACCAAATACTGAGAACAGGCTGCTTCCCCTTTATAAAATATCATTGTACCAAAGCACCTCCACAGAATCTGGACTTTGAAGACAAGTTTTTCACCTTGTTGAAAGTGATTAATCTGGGTCAGTAAATACATTTAATATTGCACTTTATTACTTGAAGATACCACCAACCATTCTATTTTATTTAAACACTACATAATCAGTGTTTCCTTTTAATTGCAGGCATCCCTTGTTTGGCCTATGGCATTGGTTGTTGGATGGTGGTGGGAGCTGCGGAAACAGTGCAGACAAGTGTTGGACCTGTCACAGTCTATTTTGCTTACAAAGAAGATGAAGGCGCACAGTATTGACACACCCCCCGTTTCCCCAAATAAAAAAAAACCTGTAGTATTGTGTACCTATCTGCTGTATTTACAACATTTCAACAGAAGTACCATCCTCTGTCAGTAGTGCTGCTATTGTGTGATGCCACAGGTAAATTTTTAAACATCTAAAATTGCAGTGGAGGTGTAGCTTTGCTTATTATTATGCTTGACATGCAGTGGTTTTTTGGAATGCTAACTTTAAATAAAAATTGTATGCAGAATTTAGGATTCCTCCAAATCTTGTCACTTGACACATCTCCTTTTCCTAGGTGTCTCATATACAAGCTGTATATGTGAGTTTATAGTAAAAAATATATTTTTGCAAAAAAAAGAGTTAAAGCATACAGAAGAGACCGCGCAGGAAATTATTTACAGGCAGTGGTTTTTTATATCACTTGGACTTATACTTGTATTTGCCACAATACAACTTAAGATCAACTTTTGAAAAAAAGGGACAGACAACAGTTCCTTTAGTGTCTTAAGTCTTAATGTAAATGATATCAAGTGGCATAATTTATGTGATGCCATGTCTTTTGCCTCATTTTGTGTGACAAATGTGAGAATTTAAATAACTGCAGCTCATTTATCTAAAGGTAAATTAGTGATCACTCTCCATGCAACAGATAAGTCAATAGGGTTAGAGAAAAAACAGTGACAGGACAGGTCTGATAAAATAGGTTTTAATTACCAAAGTGTTGCCTTTGTATAGAGACACCTACATGGCTTCCTCCGGGCCTTCTCTGGCCTTTGATTTCTGGTAATGTGCTTTGCTGACAGGGCACACTTACCTACTGCTCCCTCAGAGAGCCAGGTTGACAAACTGCCATATTGATTTCTTTACCCCTCAGCATCTCCAACTAGTAGCATTTATCAGGAGCCTCAATTTTCTGGCCCTGGCCTCTTCATTTTTAGCAACAATGAAACAGAACAAATAATTTCTTGTTGTACATGTAAATCAATGCACCTTTTGACCTTCTTTGCACTTGAAGGCTGGTTTTGGCCTGCATGGTGCTGATGATGGTAGCCTCTTCATGTGGGTCTAGTGTTTTTTTAAACTGGTTCATCCTATGCAAGAATATTTTAATGGGTAAAAATTGTTAAATGTCTCTTCTTTGTTGTCAGCATTCAGTTGTAGGTCCAACCAACCACCATCAACACGTTTTCCCCTCAAAAGGAAGAAATACCGCTTTGCTTTGCTGAAGCAACCACTCTTTTTTTACTGAATAGGATATTTAACAGGTATTTTAGGTCCCAGAATGTAATTTGCACAACTGCAAAACATTCTCTTAAATATGTTTTTATTGTAAGCATATACACAATTTTGAAACCTCATGCAGAATTCAAACTCCTCTTAAACAGTGTGGTGACACCACACTATCTCTTAATCATACTAATTGCCTTGAACACGAACACTTAGACACACTTATGGAAATCTGATATGTAGTATCAGGCTGCACCTAAGCCCCCCTCCTTTTATTTCCAGCCTTTCATCAGGATTGAAAGTGTGCATGGGGAATGCTCAGGCATCCATGTCTTAATTACTCATTGACCTTTTGACCCATGAGCTGCATTGATATGGTCACACAGCCAGACACAGTTGCATGGGGTTGCAACTGACTGTCGCTTTGTGTGTAGCTATTATAGGATGGATGTGAGTCAGTGAAATCTAAACTGTGGAGTAGGTGACTACATTGTATTTGTTTTCAGGGCTTCACCTTTGAATCACACTAAACTGCAGGAGAGGGCACCCCTTCAGCTCAGAGAGAAGCTTAGCATTACACGTCGAACTTCAGTCACCACAAGTGCCTTTATATGGTACTGTATGTGGACTGACAAATGGGCTGCTGTAAATTAACAAAATATATCTAAGATTGGTGCAAGATTGATGCCTTTTAATAGCTTTAGTAGTCTAGTCCTGTATTGAAGTGTCTAAATTACCCAACACATCTAATGTGCTAATGAACAAAGAATTAATGCCTGTTTGGCAAGTTTAATTGCATGCTGGAGCTGGTAATAAGTTTTGTCAAGGTGAAATCTTTAAATACTTATACTGTTTAGAATTTAGGTAAGTAAAGCAAAACAAGTGCTGAAATTAAGTGTGCTGCTGCTGTAAATTGTTAATGTTGAACAGTGAAATTGCTAATCAACTGGCAGAGACTTCTAATTATCTTCTAATTAGGTAATATGTTCTGTTTCTTCAGTGTAAAAAATAGCACAAACCATGTTCATCTTGAAACAGTTGATGCAGCTGATTCTTAAATCAATTATTTAGCAGAAACGTCACACCAGGTTTTTCTGTCATATAGATATATGGCTTGGCAGAAACAATTATTGTGTGAACAACCCCTGCAGCTAATGCTGGCAAGGTTATCATTATTAAGCCTGTAGATCGGCCACAAGCGCTGTCTCTGTGCTTGCTCCACGAGCAGCAGGGGTATCAGACCAATCACTCAGATCACTTTAAGGATCATGCTGGAATTACAACTAAATGCAGAGGTGTCGGCCAACATTGTCACAACGTTCACTGTGAAATGGCATTTCTTGAATTACGAAGTGACAACTGAGACATATAGTTCATTACTTTTCAACTAGAAACATCTCCAGTCACCGGTATTTGCACACTTTGATCAGCTGGGAAAGAGCAGTATACATTTTGTTTATTAAATTTGCTAGATTTAGTTTAGTAATTGTTAAAAAAAATATTTTCAGTAGCTAATAATCTCTGACCTCTTCTTTTTCTTTGGAGGGGGCATAGTGTAGTGAAGCCATTAAAAATCTATTATGGTGTGTTTCATCACCCAAGGGATGACGAGGAGCACCATAATTCTTTTCTTTACATCCTCCCTTCCTTCTTTATCTTTATGACATGTTGTATATTTGTGTGTGTCGGGGGAAGGGGGGAGTATTGAAGAGAGTATGCCTGCTGTGCCAATCAGTGTTGCCAACGCTAGTGTCATGGGTGGCTGAAATGTCTGTTGCTCATCTCTTCTGGCTCGTCTTCTTCAAGACCACTCCCAATTTACATTGAGAATAAGTTGTTTTAAGTGGTGGACAATTTCATCAAGGTCTCTTATACTTTACTTCTCATTAAAAGCATAATAAAAATGCTAATCTTCTATTCGTAGAGTGGATCTAAATTTATATAGTTAAATATATCATTGTCATTCCTTATACTGTTTAGTTGATGCCCTTAAGCCTGTGCACTTAACTTCATGCCCAGATCTCTTTGTCTTCCTGTTCAAGTAGATTATTGTTTTGTTTTTCTTTCTTGTTGATGATGCAGTATCATGTTCACTTCATTCATACTTAATGCTTACTCTGTTGACATTAAGAGAATAACGGGTTTTAATAGTTTTTCCAAGACTTATCGGGAAGAGTTAAATGAACTATCCATTTTTATTATATATTATGCAGTATTTAAAGTTTCAGCTCATTAAAAAACAGACGCCCTCCACACCCCCCAGGCTGTCTTTTACCCCCCACCAGCATGCAGTCAGGCTCCTTCTAGCCACAGGCTCTGCTTGATCTGTTTTTCCTGATTCAGAATTGAAATACTCAGAAATATTTATTTATTTGTTTATGCATTTCCTTTCATAAAGAACAGCCTAATGTCTTTATAGCTTAAACAAGCAGCATCAGTGTATCAGACAAGGGGAGATAATGCATAGTTTTGCTTGACTGATATAATTTGTTACATTGCGTATATGCTTTATTATTCAGTTCAAGGCAAAATATTTTACATCAAGAAATATTGCATATACCTTAATTTTGCACCAGTTCAGGCACCTTGTGTTATTTGATTGCCCTGCTCCTTACTTGCACAATAAACAGCAACCCACACAACAACTTAATGCTAGACTGGGGATTTACATTAAATACACTGATACTGATGCTGCATACAAACATGGAAATGGAATAAATCAATTTTGTTCTCAGAAATGCTTCACATACTTTTTGATGCATTGTGATCTCCAATCTTTCTGCAAATGAGCTGCACTCTCTTATAATGGTTTCTGCTTCTCGTGGGAGGCCGGTGTCTCAGAAAAGCTGCTGATTGAGGGGGAAATGTAATACAGGTGTAAAGCAGACTTGATAGGGGTCTTACATGAGGGTTATGCATTTTAACAGTGATATACATACTGTTACATATTTATCAAAGAATATGGAATTTGCTGGGTTGACTCTTTCTGGCCTGCAGAGATTTGTAGGTTTCTGCTAGAGGGTTGTTAATTCTGGCAGAGAGGATGGCTATTATGTTGAATTAATAGGAATTAAGGGTTTAAATTGGTTAAGTAAGCACTTCATTAATCGTGAGTGGATTGCTGTGTGTGAGAGGTTTATAGGTGATGTAGAACACCAGTACTTAGATGAAGGAAAATGAGGGAGGAGTGCATTAGAATGCTTGCTGGTGATGTAGACCAGAAATTCCAAATAAACTGTAAGGTAGAGCTGAAATGACTAGGCAAGGAACTGATAAGGCAATAAAGAGAAAGGTAATAAATATGGTGATAATCAGTTAATAATTTAAATTATGAAGCAAAAATATGGAAAAATGCTATAATTTCTCAGATTCCATTTACTGTTTCTCTTTGTCTTGCATCATAATCAAATGAATAACTTTAGGTTCTGAACCTTTAGTCAGACAAAACAAGGCACTTGGTGATGGCACCTTGGATTCTAGGTAGCTGTTTTTTGTTTCATAAACCTAACTATTAACCTTTTTTTAAAACTATAAATCATTAGTTGCTCCAATATAATTTATTGTATATGCTATGGCAAACATAATTTTCTATTGATTTTCTATTCTAGCTCTAACCAGTTTAAAATGTGAACAGTCCCAGCTTTGCTGACTGCATATCTACAGTATTACATGCTGATTGTGCATGTACTGTACCTGGGGGTCTTTTGTTTGAATATATATTCCAACTTTTATTACAGAACACAACATTTTGGGATTTAATTTAATCCAAGGCTCCCTTTAAATGCTGAAACC